GCGTGACCAAAAGCGTCAGAAGGTGAAGTCATAGAACGATGATGAAAATCAAGGAGGAGAGCGTATTGGGAGAACTAGAGTGTAAAAAGCACAATATTTTCCAAGGAAATGACAAGGGCGTATAGATTTCCTAAACTTGAGGAGTTGTCAACTTCAGAGACAATCGCGAACAACACAAACGAAAAAGATGATTTTGCACCAACAGCATAAGGCCAGTGAAAAACAAATAATGACCAAATTTTACAAATATAGGTAAGCATTTGAATTTGCAAAGATGGATCAAGAGGGAAAAATGACGGAAATGAAGCATCCTCAATACAGTTTTGAGAGATATGGAATAGAAGAATAGAAACAGCAACAGCTGCGAAAAAAGAAGTCTGTAGAAAGGGTTGATAAGCCCACTCAATCGGACCACATCATAAATAAAATCTTTATCAATACTGATCACATGTTTACCCGTATCAAAAAGTATATAACAACGTGAAAAAAATCAAACTAAATACTTGCGACCATAGAGTGCAGCTTTCTGTTCGAATGCAGGAGACCTTATAGGAGAATTTATGGTATAGAAAGGGTTCATCGAGTATTTGATGTAAGTCTCGTACATTTCCTGGAAAATAATTTACTAGTCTTGCAAGAAATAAGAACATTCTAAAACACTTGGAGGTATTATGAGCATAAGAGTAGATGAAACGTAAGCTCAACGAAAAATTTAGTATCCCCACCTGGAAGAATTGACGGATACCCTCATCACAACGTTGCGTATGAAGCATAAGGAATCGAATGCGTCCAGCCGATACAAAAGCGGAAACGAACCATTCATTGAACTTGTCGACTAGCTAAAGACATGTAGCTGAAAGACGTATAAATGATAGAAAAAACACGTGCACTGTCTTCACCTTGAAGGCATCGTCAGGCAATTTGGGTACCCCGGATATCACGTGTAAACAGATTTTTGGGAATCTGACTGAGACAATGTCAAACGGCAGAGCACGTAGGTCCCAGACTTCCGGTTCATGAACCGCATCTGCGGGTTCACCCGTTCGCTATTGCTCAATTCAGCGATTTGGCCAATAGCGAATGAGTGAATCGCACGAATCAGAAAGTCTGGCGCTTACCAAACGGACTG